AAATCAAATTCTATGTCTTCTTCTGACATGTCCATTCTAACATGCTTGGGATCAATGTCTTCAGTAACATCAACCATGCCTACAAAGGTCGAATTCATTACTCGGACATCTTCAGTCATGCCCGTTTGGGACTCGATATACCCTACTTACACTTCAAATGGACTCGTATCCACTTTCATTGACATCTCCTCGAATTTCAATCTTCCTTGGTCAATCGCATCTTGGATCGTGTTCCTGAAATGTATACAATTATTAGTCCAATGTCCATAAATATTGTGAAATTTGCAATATTTTCGACCGTTCCTTTGTTCTGCAGAAGGCAGTTTATGATCATCACTCAACTTGATCTGTTTATCTTTCAATAAGATATCAAAGATTTTATCCGCCTTTGTTACATCAAGAGTATATGTTCGATTTGCCATTTTGTCTTTTACTTCATTTTTCTGTAGCAGTTTACAAATGTATGGAGCTCCTACTTTAAGCTCTGCTATATTTACTTTCTCATCGACAGTTTCTTTAATATCTGTTTCTGCCTTGGGATCTTCCTCATATACATCATTTATATATGCTACTTTTTCTTTCTTCATAGGTTTCTCGAATTTCTTATACCTTTGTTTTTCATATTCGATTTGTTCCACTCTTCTGGTGAAAATTTGATTGATTTCGATTTATGGGGAGTTGAGTCCTAATCAAATCTTGACCATGTAGATTCTTTTTACTTAGGCTAGCAACTAGTTTTCAATCAAAAGTGCATGAAAATCGAGAATCCTAAAATCTCGAAAAGATGCAAACCACATGACCTAGAGTGCGGATCGATGATCGAAAGTACTATTTTTTGATGTTTTTTATTAAGTAACGCGAAGTAAAGAAAGCGATAAAAATGTTGAATCGAAAAGTGGTGCGAGAATATGAAATTACGAGAATTGAACATTGCGGAAACCTCGAAATTGCATTAATTGTAAATGACGAGAATTAAAATTGCATGAAAGTAAATAGCAGAAATCGGAATTGCGAAACGGTAAATGACAAGATATCGAAAGTACTGAAACTTAAATTGCATTAAAGGTAAATGACAAGTAATCGAAAGTACGTAAACTTAAATTGCATTAAAGGTAAATGACAAGTAATCAAAAGTACAGAAACTTAAATTGCATCAAAGGAAAATTACATGAACATAAATTACCAGGGAAAGTAAAGAAAGCGATAAAGGCAGTCAATGAAAATGGAAATCCAGATCGCCAGAAACTTCATGATTTTGTCGTTCTCCGGTAGACTTTTCACTAACGCTTCTGTTGTCTCTGCCAATTTCCCTCCTTCCTTCTTTCTTCGCCCTATTTATAGAGCGTTCTTCAAGTAACCTCCTAAGAGCAGTTAAAACTGCCACCACGATCCATTGTGCACGTTCCTTCAGTCTTAACAGTTTTTTAAAAAACTGCATTCCACGTTCTCACGCATAAGAGAACTGCTCCCTTGATCTTCGATCTGAGCCACGGTTTAGGAACCGTTTCCCATGTCCCCTGTGTGTTAACTGCTCCCTCGATCTCGATTTCAGACATCGAGTATTTTGAATTTTGCTTTTGATTCCCTTTAATTCTTAACTTTGCACTATTCTAATCTCTCGATTCTCTTCAACAATAGACATCGAAATCTGTTTCTTCGATTCTCGATTTTGATTTTCGATGTGTTTTTATCTTTGTGGTCACCAGGTGTCTTTTACCAATTGTCAGTTTTTAACCAATCATATGATCCTCGATTTTTCTTTCCTTCGTTTTTCGATCCTTTTAACGATTTCCCACTAACAAAAGCTAATCGAAATCAAAATGAATTAAAATGGAAATTGAAATGCAGTATAGTAATCGAAAGTTAAAATCAGAAATAAGAATCTAAATTGCTAATCGAAATGGAAATCGAATTGCAGTATATATAGAATTGCAGTATATATAGTAATCAAGTCAAAATCAGAAATAAGAATCGGAATTGAGTTTGTAGCAAAAACTAGTAGAACTTGAATTGGAAATATAGAAGTAAAATCCACTATATGAAATTGAAAACAACTAGAAAAAATAGAGATTGAAAGTAAAACTGAAAATAAAAAATAGAATTGAAATTAAAAGTAAAAATGTAAACAAAAAGTGGAATTGCGTAAACAAAAAGAGTATATTGAAATTGAATTTAAAATTGAAAATTGAATTCAAATGAAATTGAAAAAGCAAAATCAATGTAAGAATTACAGAATACAACAAAGTGGGGAAAAAGTTGAATTGCAAACAAGAAATTGAAAAATAGAAAACATAAAACTTCTTTAATTGGAAAGTATTTCAATTGGAAAGGGTAGCAATGCTCAAGTCTCTACAGAAAGAAAAATGAATTGAATCCCTTGAAAGTCTCCTTATCTCTTCTATATAAATTATTCTGAAGGAGGGAAAACTAATGGGTCAAAGCTGATTTAAAATTGTACAGAAAAATCTAAACTTATATGATTTATTAAAGATAGGTCTGGATGCCAAACAATATGTTCACATGTCCAAATTGAAGCCCCCAAAGTAACGAAATAATATGCAACTGTCAATGCTGAAAAATAAAAAATACAATAGAAAAATAGAAAATAGTATATATTTACAAAAACTTCTATTTATTACTAAAAATGCAAATACATGCTAAATGTAATGAATAAAGAAAAAAATACTTAAAAAATGCAATAAGATTATAAAAGTATATACAAAATACGAGTCATCAGTTACCTTACAACCAATTTAACAATACCCATCAATTCAATTATCAAGAAGGCCAAATACATGAGATGTAACAAATTCTTGAGTGAAAGAGGGAGACAAATCATGAATGTTTGTCATGTCCATTCGAAGTTACGTTAAAGGTGTTACATGATGTTTATACAAAATCAACACTTACAGGGTGCTTCAATTTGATATAAGATATACAAGATTTTTTGTGAAGGAGATGGTCAATGCAAGAGAAGTTTGACCCATTGAAAAATTTGTCATTATTCTATATAAAGGTTGGTGTGATTGTGAGAAGTTTCGAATTTTGATTTACCATGTTCTCATGTACTTACAATATACAAACATGTTCACTATGATTTCGACATGTAAATCAATCATGCCTAGAGTTTGGATGTAATAAATAAAGTATACGACAATTTGTTTGGAAAGTTTAGACATGAAAATAATTAGTCGTCCTACCAAAACTCACAACTTTGTCCCAATCTAGTAAAAAGAAAAAGTTCCAAAAGTCATCCAAAATCAACATAAATTAGAACTAAAATGAATATATGCGAAGGCTAACCAAGGAAATATTCCTATCATCACACCCTAAGACACACAAGAAACCATGTTGGCATAACCCTAACCTTAGGGATAAACTTCTCATAATTAATTATGTTGCAATTTTCTAATATGTCATTAGAAGCAATAAATGAATAAGTAGTTTACTCACTTGTAATTTTCTATGCATCTCATTAATTTAATACCTCGATTGTCTACTCACTTAAACTCAAGTTATATATCTTACTTAAATGATCAAATTTTTATTTATATATATTTTTTAAAATAACTTTACTAAATTATATTTCTTCAAATTATGTATTTTTCTAAATATTTTTTTAAAATATTTTTTTAATGTTCTAATTTTTTACTTCTCTAAATAATTAAATACTACAAACTTACTAAATATAATTAATTTTATTTTTATTAATTAATTTCAATTTATACTCCAAATACTTCTCAATTTTAATTTTACATCAACATTAAACTTTGATTCAAATAATTTCTCTTCAATCATTCTATTTACTAAATTTTTACTGCTTACTTATCTTTAAATAAATTTTTATTACTAAATAAAATTAGATTTCTCATTTTCAATTTTAAATTAAATCGCCATAATTTTAAACTTTTTTTTTCAAATAATTTCCCTTAAATCATCCTATTCTTTATTTTAGTTTTTCTAAAAATTTCTACTACTTACTGATTTTTAAATAAATTTTTATTAATAAATAAAATTATATTTCTCAATTTTAACTTTATATTAAACCACAATAAATTTAAGTTTCACTTTTAATAATTTTCATTATATCATCTTATTATTTTTATTTTTCTAATATTTTACTCTAAATTTATTATTAAATAAATTATTATTACTAAATAAATATATATTTGCCAATTTTAATTTTAGGTAAAGCTACCATAATTATAAAATATTATTCCCATAATTTTTCTTATATAATCGTATTTTTAATTTTTTTCTTATTTTTTCGTCTTTTTTAAATAAAAAATTGTAAAGCCAACTCTAAAATTCAGTTCCGTAGAACCAATGCTAGACCTTGAAAACAAAATAAACAACTTCAGGATAACACTGAAAAATAATTTTCACGAAGACTTATTTCGAATCCAAAGTTACTTATATAATAACAAATGATTTGACAATTATTTTATTTTATATAATTAAAATTTTAACTAATTTAATTTTATCTTTGATAGCTAAAGTTGATGTCATTCCCTTTAGATGATTAATATAAAATTAATAAAATTTGCTTTTATATCGAGCATTAATTAGTAAACCCTCAATGAAAAAAAAAGTGGTTTAAGGTTTTTCCACATAAACTGAATATAATAATAAACATGTTAAAAAAACTTCAATTTTTTAATAATATACTACATGTTTTATCTGAGACAATTTGAGTGGGGTAGGAGAAATAAATATATATAAATTATTCTTTTAAAACTAATATTATTTATTTTCTGTTGAAATATGGTAAATATTTGTAGAGATTTCAAATAATGTTATGTAATGAAAGGAATGAGTAGATATTTTAAAGATTAATTCGTGGTGACAGCTAAAAGAGAATTAATAAAGAAAGAAAGAGAAAAACAAGTTCCCTTTGAAATTGACGAACATGAACACCAAAACCAATGTGTATATATGGTCCTCATCATGTTCAAGTTTATACACATGTTCGGTGTTGGCTTCAAATCCTGTTAATAAAGATGGGTGGTTTAGCTAAGATAACACACCATCTTGTGAACCTGGTGGTGGCAATAGGGTTGTGCACCGCTGTTGTTGAAGGCAGCAAACATGTGAGCATCAAGAACAGCCTAGGACCTGGAAAGAACATGACTTTGCATTGCCAGTCCAAGGACACTGATCTGGGCAAGCAGAACATAGGAAATGGGGATGAGTTTGGGTGGGACTTCTCTGACAATGTTTTTGGAACAACGCTGTTTTTCTGTGATGTGGGGTGGCAAAATGTTGAGGAGTACCATTTTGATGCTTACTCCTTTGGTAGGGACAGAGTACGATGTGATGGTGCAGGATGTTTATGGCTTGTTTCTGCTGAAGGAATTTATGGTTTGAATGGACAAACAGGGTTCTGGGAATTCATGTACCAATGGCCGAATTAATGAGTCATTTCATGAAATTGAAGTTAAATCACATGTATTATTTTTATATTTTATGAGAATAATTATATTTCAGTCTCTTATATCAATTTGCTTCTTGCCACTTCTTCTGGATATCGTGTTCATTTTAAGTTTTATTTATTAAGCTACTAATAATATTAAAATTATATTATTTTAATATCAATAAATATATATAGGTATATGTTCATATTTTTCTACAAAAGACAAAGTATATTCGATAGAGAATAAAAATGATCACACAGATAATACTTAAGTTGTTAAAATATGTGAAGAAGTAAAAAAAATAATGAATTTAACAACACAATTAATAAAAGAAAAAGATATAATTTATGAACAAGATATATATATACAATTTTCAAATGTGTAACTTATGTTTTTTCTTCCCATAATATTATATCATTTATTTAATATTAATAAAATTTTATTTTGTTAACAAAAAAATTAATATATTATTAATACCATTAATGTATGTTTATTAATTTATATGAATAAATATTTAATGTTATTACTGTTATATATTTATTAGCATTTAATATTTTTGTTGAAATTTAATATTTATTATATTAAAGTTTAAGATTATTAATATATACTAATAAGTGTACATAAATATGTGAATAAATATGAAGTGATTTATATTTATCTTAAACAATATTTTATCAATAGAGATGATAAGAAGTTTTGAAGATATAATAATTAGGATTAACCATTAAATTTGAAGAAGAAAGTAAATTATAATTAAAAATGAGAAATAATTATAGTTATGGCCTTCTTTACTGGAAAAGAAATGTTTTGGTGACTTTGGTGTAGAACACAGATTCCGCCACAGAAGTAAGTAAAATATCATATATCGTTCAGAAAATGGTGAATTGAATTATCAAAACCGTACAATTACAAAACATTCAAAACTGAAACCAAAAGTACAGAATTCACATCATTATAATGTTTGGAGGATTTTTATGTTATATTTAAAAAAAATTCTCTTTTTAAAAAAGTAAAAAGATTTTCATGTTTCATGCCCGGATCTTGTTTTATTTTCCCAAATACCTTTCATCCTATCAGTTTTTTTTTATTTAACAATTAAAATAATTATCTTAAATGATTGTATTTTAAGAATTATTATTTAATTATAAACTTTTATTTAATAAGAATATTATTAATAAATTTTCTTAACTTTTTATTTCTAAATCGAATTTTTATTTTAAACAATAAGAATGTTATATTTGTAAATATAATGCACAATATATTACATGAAAAAAAAAATCTCAACTATACTTTGTCAGAAAAAAATTCTGAGTACTCAATTACGAGCATACAACTGGTTTGAAAGTTATGACAAATTCACAAGTGTAACTTTAATACCATATTAACTCCTTGGTGTATCTGACATTTCTGGGAAATCTGATTCTTCCATCACCAATGGATGAATGTCAGTGGAGGGATTGTATTGTTGAATTACCATAACTGATGTAACGGTGGAGTAATCTGAAGAAGCCAAAAAGCTTCCAACAGGTCCAAGCTCTGGACAATCACTCTGGCTACCCAAAGGTGCCACTGATGGCATTCTACCAACCAATATTAGGTTGCTTCTCTTCATATCCTTTAATGTTGTCTCAATATCTCCTTTACTCTGCACTAGCTTTTCCTCATACTTCATTGACTCTTGGTTGTTGTTGCATGCACTTAAAAACTTACTCCACAATTCATCATCCTGCTTTTTATCAGCATAATTATTGTCATCAACCGCATCAACTGTTTTCCTATACTTGTTTGATGACACCCCAACTAATCTAGCACCAAAGGCCAAAGATGTCCCTGGTGGAGTTACAACTTTGACCACATTGAGAAAAATTCCTGGGTGCTCAGCCATTCTCATACCATAACAAAGTGCTTCACGATCATCACGCCCACCAAAAAAGGGTACCACTATCTTATAAGACACATCACTAGCTTGGACTTGGCTTGTGCCTCCAAGACCTCGATCAACCAAAATTCCGACTGAGCAAGGAGCATGGCTTAACACAAGTTGATTGGTAACATGGAATGAATGTCCTAGTGACTCCATTGATCCATCCACACGTTGGCGTTTGTGGAATGGAAGGATGATCATGGCTGCACGCTTTTGGTGAGCACTAGTACAAATATCTTCATGGATGTTATTAAGAGAAGATATTGCCGTCATGGGTCGCACACTGACACTGCTCAGTTTCTCATAAGCCTGAAAAGCTATGATCATTTTATCTTCGCCATCTTGCTTCTTGTTCCAAAAGGGCATGCCATTCTTGCGTGCCTTGTGAACCATTGTGATTGCTGAAGATCGCTCTGATAGCTCCATCAAGTGCATTGCATATATACAAAGCTTTCCTTTCCTTTGGCTTCCACGGGAGCACTCTATTAGATTGATCAGCGTGGGAATGTTGTGGGTGCCGTGGAAGCAAGCAAGCATTCGAAGCTCAGTGTCAAGATCACGTTGAATTGTTTTGTGTTTGTAAGGTGCTCCTCTGCGAGCTGGTTTATAGACAAACATCACTATTGGGGTGGTGATAAAGGTGGTAAACAAGGCCATGAGAACACAAATGGCAAATGCTTGGTCATTCAACACCTGCATCGTAAGAAGAATAATTCATAAAAAGACATAAGAACAAAGGACAATACTCACAAATTTTTATAAGAACAATTCAAAGACATGTGATTGGGGGTGCTTAAGTTCCACATCATGTTCAGTATAGGTTTTAAGTGCTTGGTTATCCCTCCACAATTGCTACCTTTTTGAGGGTGGATGGTTTGGGTTTGGATACATATGAACTTATGAGTGAAACAAAGAAAATCAATGTTTATTATACATACCTTCCGGTCCTTCCCAATGTTGAGAATAATGAGCTCTACCAAGCCCTTTGTGTTCATGAGAAATCCAAGAGCCAGGGCTTCTCTGAAAGGCACCTTACATAGTAATGAAACAACAGTAGTGCCAACAATCTTCCCAAAGCAAGCATTGAATATAACAAGCATTAGCATTGCCCAAGAAAGACCTCCCTTAATTGTTGCCACATTAGTCTTTAAACCACTGGACACAAAATATAGTGGCAAGAAAAGGCCAGACACCAGGTCTTCTATCCTCTCAGTCAACACCGTAGCAAAGGAACCTTCTTTGGGCATAACAGTACCAACCACAAAAGCTCCAAAGAGGGCATGAATTCCAATGATATCAGTGACAAAACCACAAGCCAAAACCAGAGTCAATGTGATGCATATGTACAACTCCTTCACTGGCTCACCTTCCAGGGAACGGCTAGCCATAGCCACAAGCAATGGCCTAATGGCAAAGACAACAAAGGTGACAAAAGCAACACCAGATAGCAAAACCCAAAGAGGAACAAGTGGGGATGTGTTAGAACCAGAAAGGGCTATGGCAAGAGCAAGAAAAATCCAAGCTGCAACATCATTAACAGCGGCAGCAGACATTGTTATGCGACCAACATCGGTGGTAAGGAGTTTAAGCTCGGCCAGGATCCTAGCAAGGACAGGAAATGCAGTGACTGAGAGAGAAACACCCATGAAGACAAGAAAAGGAAGTGGCTCGGCACCCTTGGATACAGTGGCTCGAAGAGCAACGGAAGTTCCAATGCCAAGAACAAAAGGCACAATGATCCCACATAGGGCAATGCCTAAGGCCTTACGACCAGTACGTCGAATTGCACGCATGTCAAGCTCAAGACCCACAAGAAACAAGAAGAACAAAAGACCTATGTTGGCCAGTGTGTCAAGAACTGTTATGCTTTTCGCTGGGAAAACCGTATTCAAAAACTTCTCGCTCCGCCCAATTGCAGATGGCCCTAGTAGTATTCCTCCCTGCAATTTAAACAATAACATTACTGTCTGTGTGGATGTACTCAACATTTTCATCCACTTTCTACATTTTATTTTCCTTTCTTTAAAAATTACCAATGTCTTTCACATAACGCATTCGCAAACAACACAAACTCAAGATAAATACTTGAAGTTGAATACTAAAATCATGGCAATGCCCATGAGTGCCAAAGTACATGACCACTGCAAGGCGGGGAAAGAAAAACTTACGATGATCTCAGCAACGACTCGGGGTTGTCTGAGGGGTTTGCAAAGGAATGCAATAAATCTAGTAAAAGCAACGACCAAACAAATTTGGAGGATTAACAGAGGAAGCGCATAATCGAGAGGGTTTTCATGTTGGAATGCCCCGTTGGACGTGGGCTTCATGGGTGCAGGGCATGATGGGTTATTACTCGTCGTTGCCATGGTGCTTTGTCTTAGAGCATTGCAGCCCCGAGAATGATTAAAAAATGTTGGATTTCACCGTAAAAAACAAACTCATTGAATTTCCAAGCAGAGAGATAAGAGGAACACAACAACAATAACAACTTGTGTTGAGAAGTTGATGAATCTTGATTCATGATCATAGTGTTAGGCTCTCTGCGCTGTCTTGTGTTCCACTTATAGTATGCATTTAAACTGTCTATACTCAATCCAACTAATCACTGCCAAATATATATTAACAATTAGTTCTGGTAACCCCCACATTGTTTTACTTTCATAAATACACCATAAATTTTATTCCTTCATAATTTATTAGTCAAATATAAAAGTATATTGTAAGAGTAGCAAATAAAATGAATCATTTATAATTGGAATATTTTATCATAGTATTAATTTCAGGAATTAATTTAATTGTTCATATAATTAAAAACAAAAAACTAAATAATTAACAATTAATAATACATAACTTCAGATACTATTTTATTGATAAGCTCTGACCTCATCTTATCTCGTATAAGTACCATATAAATTTCTCCTTAATAAATAATAAAAATATTAATTAAATACTAATTATTTACCAGCATGTATATTTTTTATTTCGTTTAATTGAAATATTAAATACTATTATATATGTTATAATAATAATAACTATAAGTTGGTAATAATATCTATTAGTTTTTATTGCAAAGATTTACTTTTCACAAAAATCATATTTAATATTTATTATCTCATTATACTTAAATGTTAAAAATTTAATGCATACAAATATTATTAAACTGAATTTGACGCTCTTAATTATATTTAATTAAAAAATAAAACGTTGAAACGGTTGAAACGAACCTTATAAATATTCTGCAATTTTAATGTTAAGTGATAACATTCGATTTATTATATAAATAATTTATCTTAAACAAATATTGAAAATATAAAATAAATAATAAATCCTTACATATATAAATTGTACTGTATATGTCATAATAATAGCTAAAACTATAATAATAATCCACTAATAAATTCTCTTACAAATAATTATTTTTCAAAAAATATATTTAATATTTAATATTTTATTCAAATATTTAAAATTATATATATACATAAAATAACATTATTAAATAATGTTTAATATAAATAATATTTAAAATTTATACATTAATGAAAAGTACTCTGCTATTCCGTTAATATTTAATGCTCTTAATTATATTTAATCCCATGAATAATTAAAATATTAAAATTAATGATATTTCTATATTCCATTGTTTTAATAATTTTAAAATAACTAATATCATTCTATTGATTATGTAATTTATCTTAAATAAATATTAAAAATCTAGATTAAATAATAAAATTATATTTATTACGTATAAGCATGCATAGTTTATAACTAGTTATAAAGATCCAATAGAATGAATAAATTGGTGGAAGATTTGGTCAATTTGGATAACTTCATACATTTTTAAGTTAAAAGTATGATATGGAAGTTTTTTTCAATTTTAAATAATTAAGTATCGTAATAAAATAATAATTTTTACTAAAAGGTATTGAGTAATTCTTAATAACTTTCTTACACATGTACCTTAGTAATATTAAATTAAACTTACAATCTTAACAAAACGCCGTGGAACACGCATTTTTCCAAATTAATTCATAAAATATAAAATTAATCAATATCATTTTATTTTATTTTAAATTAAACGATATTGATTCACGATAATATACCATCAAAATTATATAATAGTACATGTAAGAGTCAAAATATACCTATTATTAAATGTAATTTAAATATAAAATAATTGGAAACATAAATTCTTTTACCTAGGAAAAATATATATACACACGCCAACATTGTTTTAAAAGTAATATATAAAAGAGTTGCAAAAGCTTATTCTGACGAAGTGGTGACTAACAATGACAAGTTTTACATCAACAAAAATCTTATCTAATTCATTAAGGCAACTTCCTGAAGATCAGTAGATGGTATGGTCAAGACCATTTTCAGGATGTTCCCGCTCGAGCACCTCGGTTTTTTCAGTCCACGATGATAATGCCGGTCACTAAAAAAGACAAGATCCCCATTGTCAACGTGTACCCTAACGACAAACCAAAAAAGAGGACATTTCATCTGGGACGTTGATCCAGACATGTGCGATTTCGACTGTTGCGACCATACTATCGAGACACTAGTGATGAGGAGAGCAATGACTCAGACGATGAAAATGACGACTATAGAGGAGGATCCTACAAACCTCCTCTCTCTGTTAGTAAAAGAAAAATCGATACCAGGATCGAAAAAATAAGAGAGAGAAATATCGAAGATCATATGGTTGATTGGAAATTTGATAAAAGACAATTAGGAAACACTCGGTAACCACAAGATGAAAACACATATAAATCGAGAATCAGAATCGAGAATCGAAGGAAGAATACTTGATGTCTTTTACTGAAGAAAATCGAGAAATTAGAATTTGGTGTAATGTTAAGATTAAGGGGAATCAAAATAATTCAAAACACTCGATGTCTGAAATCGAGATCGAGGGAACGGTTAACGCGCACATAGAATATGGGAAGCGATTTCTAAACCGTGGCAGAGATCGAAGATCAAGGGAGCAGTTCTCTCATGCATGAGAACGTGGAATGTAGTTTCCTAAACCGTAGAACTAAGGGACGTGCACGTTGGATCGTGGTGACAGTTTTATTAACTGCTTTTAGGAGGTTACTTGAAGGGTGCTCTATAAATAGAGCGAAGACTTGAGGAAGAAGGGTCTACAGGAGAACGACGCATCATAAAGTTTCTAATGCTCTGGATTTCCGTTTTCATTTATTATCTTTATCGCTTTCTCTACTTTCCCTGGTAATTTACTTTCATTGCAATTTACGTTTATCAACTTTTAAGTTTTGTCATTTCGATTCCTTGTCATTTACTTTTATGCAAAATTTACTTTTATGCAAGTTAAGGTTATGCGTTTAAGATCCTCGCCATTTACATTTCTGCAATTTCGATTTCCTGTTATTTACATTTCCGCAATTTCGATTCCTTGTCATTTACACTTAACGCAAATTTGAGGTTTCCACATTTTACATTTCTCTGCAATTTAATATTTTGCACTATTTTTTCGATTCGACACTTTTACTGATTTCTTTACTTCGCGTTTGTTAATAAAAAATACCAAAAATAGTACTTTCGATTATTAATCTGCATTCTAGGTCGTGTTGTTGGCATTTAATCGAGATTATGGGATTCTCGATTCTCATGCATTTTTCGATTGAAAACCATTTGCTAGCCTAAATAAAAAGAATCTACATGGTTAAGATTTGATTAGAACTTAAGTCTCGATTTAATCGAAATCGATCAAATTTTCACCAGAAACAAATTGGCACGCCAGGTAGGGGTCTGTGTCGAAAAACACAAACAATTGGCTAGTTCGAAAGTGTATGAGACTAAGGAGTGGGCGAGTAGTGTATGAGATTAAGGAGTGGACGAGTATTAAGAATGAGTCAAAATCCACCACATAATCAGAATGACAATGAGATTCCAAATTGTTCACATTTAACAAACACTGGGGGGCAAGTTCATAATGGGAATATGCACGTAATATCGACAACTGTGAGTACGTCGATACCTATGAGTGCTGAACAAAGCTCAGACACATCAGTAAACACTCAGTTAGGGTCTAGCACTGTAATGTCAAACAATATACAAACTACGGGGAATCCCGTAACAACATATGCAGGTCCGCATATGAGTGTAAGACCGCCTGGCTTTTCGATTAATAATATGGATGGGGCTGGTACTTCTTCGATATAACGAAGTACGAGATTCAACCTAGGGATGCCCCAAAGCTTAGGAACATTTCAAACCTTAGGCATGCCTCAAAATTTTGGGGTATCCCCAAATTTAGGAGTGTCTCAAAATTTAGTAATACCCCAGAATTCAGGGAATGTGCAAAATTTAGGAACACAACAGACACCTCCAGTGTCAAACCTGGAAAACAGAGCAAACCTGGATCACGGGAGATATACATTCGATAGAGATTATCATCGATCCAATTTTGAGACTATCGAAAACGCTAGTACTGGAATTTCCAGTAACTCATTAGGAGTACTTCGACAGCAAATGGACGAAAGCAATTTCGAGATGGTTAACATGTTATCACAACAGTTGACTACAGTACTAAATCCACTAGTTCAAAACACTACCACTAGTTTTGAGATACTAGCAGATCAAATGTCACGTATCGGGGATGCATTGGCGATACCTCGACAAACAAGGGTCGAAAAGAATGTCAATCAGAATATTAACCAAAACGCTAATATCAATCCCCTTTATTTATTATGGAGAAATCGAAACAATGATCAATATCAGCATGTGAGGAATGATACTTATGGAAATTTAAATGAGGGATGTCAAAATATGTATAATCAAAATAACATGCAGTACAATCACCTGATGGGACAAAGAATGAATCCTCAAGGAGTGGAATTAAGACCACCTCATCAACCATATTTTGTTTCTTCTTTTCCAAATACGATTCTCGAGACAGAATTACCTCGAGGATACAAAATACCCAAATTTACCAAGTTTGCTGGAGAAATTGGCGAATCCACTATCGAGCATGTGGCGCGATACCAAATTGAATGTGGGGACCTAGCGATGAGCGAGGAATTAAAAATGAAATATTTTCCTAGTTCATTAACAAAGAATGCTTTCATGTGGTTTACGTCGTTGCCACCTAATTCAATATATAATTGGTTGCAGCTGGAAAGAAATTTTCATGAGCAATTTTTTAGGGGGGAAACTCAAGTAAGTCTTATCGATTTAATGAATATAAAGAGATATAATCATGAAAACATAGATGATTATTTGAATAGATTTAGACAAATGAAGTCGAGATGTTTTACTCAAATTCCTGAATTTGAGTTAGTCAGAATGGTCTCTGCAGGCTTAGAATTCTCAATTAGAAAAAAGTTAGTTAATTTACCATTGA